GGTAATTTTCCACAGGGGCTAAAAAACAATGTGATGGGAACGTGACTGTGTAAAAGGTGCGCACCCGGGAAGTTGGGCACTGTTCGCCCACTACTAGAAAATGGCTGCGTGTGCCGGGGTCATTGCTAGATCCGAGGGCTAGCTTTAACAAAAGGCTAGCTCTGGCAAGGCTTGCTAATAGCTTGCTGATAGCTCGTTGTTGTGAGGCATGTTGATTGCACTAAGTGGACAGTTGAAATACATCGTTGTTAGGTGACTGATAAATAAAACTGGTGTTTGGATCTTTGGTGTGAGCTACCTTAACCCTGGCCTGGGAATCAGTGAACCTGAGTCATCGTCCTGAAAGCTGGGGGTGTGAAGCTGGCGTTTATTAAACAGAAAAGACCACGTGCAAACACATAGAGTTGTGTAGACCGACCTGGAGAAAAAGCTGTGGCTGTCGCTGATGGCAGGCATGTGGTGGTTGGCGTTTGTGGCAGGGTCGGGACTTACACTAAAGCCTTCCTGGGAGAAGAATGCTCATCAGATCAGCGGCTGGTCTCGTGTTATTTCTCTTGTTAGCCAGAAGGTCTAAAGAAGAAAAAAATAGAAGAAATTTTAGGAGAAGATTTTTGTAGGAAGAAAAGAATTTCTGTGCTTATGGTGAAGCACCAGAACAGGGAAGGCGCAGGGAAGTTGTGGAAGACACTGGAAGTTGTGGCACAGGGAAGTTGTGGAAACCGCTGCCCTGGAAGTGCTCAAGGCCAGGCTGGATGGGGCTTTGAGCAACCTGAGCTAGTAGGAGGTGTCCCTGCCCATGGCAGGGGGGATGGAACTAGATAATCTTTAAGGTCCTTTCCAACCCAAACCATTCTATGATTCTATGAAGACATGCAGTTCATACATTTTCTTTCAAGTTGACTTACTTATCATGTCATTTGACTCATGGTCTTTATTGGCTCCAGCCATCTCCTAGAAGATGCAGAGTCTAAATTTTGAGTTGCCTTGTCTGAAATTGTCAAATTTTATGCTTAATTAATTATTATAAAATTACTTATTATGAAATTGGAATGAACTGTTACAAGGCATGATCAATATTAGATGATTTTGTCCTTTTTTTTCCCATCAGTTGATATGCCGTATTTTCTTGTTACTAGCAATTTTTTACTAGCTTTGAGGTCTGGTAAGCATGGAGTGCAGGTTCTGGGGTTAAAATGCCTGTTTTGCCAGTTGTGGGAAACTGAGGTCAGCAGTGGTACAGTCCTTTATGGTCATTTCTGATTGTAACTATTTGGAACTATCTAGTCTGCAAAGCCAAGAGCTTGTGACCTGTGTTTCCCTGTGTCCTGGTTTGACATTCCACTGTGCCCCATATTGGAGTGGTTTGTGATCACTGGGTCTTTTGGCAGCTTGAACATGGATGAATCACGGTTGTTAAATAGATGTGTTCCTCCCAAGTAAAATTTATTAAAAATGCTGTCATTAGAACACATATATCAGAAATACAATTAGCCTGTGGCTCCCATAATGGTATTTTGTCAAGACTTTTAGGGAAAAACAAAACCAAACAAAAACAACACTTCATGACACTTCACAAAAACAACACATCACGAGGGTGACAGAGCACTGGCACAGGCTGCCCAGGGAGATTGTGGAGTCTCCTTCTCTGGAGACATTCAAAACCCACCTGGAAACGGTCCTGTGTGACCTACTGTAGGTGATCCTGCTCTGGCAGCGGGGCTGGACTAGATGATCTTTTGAGGTCCCTTCCAACCCCTGACATTCTGTGTGATTCTGTGTGAGTCTGTGTGAAAACCCAAAAGGGCTTGCTAGCTGTTTAGGTGTTACAGAGTTTGTGTGCAATCGCTGACATGTGGCATAAAAGCATGGCCTCTATTTTGAGATATCTAGCATCTCCCTGTACCTATAAAATTAGGAGTGAATTAAAACCTTTTCCACAGTGTTCCAGGACGCATTTCTGTCACTGCATTTGCCTCCATCAGAGCTTCAGCATCAGAGCAGGATTATTTTTACTCCAACTACAATTATTTTATAGGCTACCAGGAAGTACTGGAACGAGTAAAGCAAGTGGCAGATGTTTGCTGTATGAGTAGCTACGTCTTTAAGACAGTCCTGCTTGTATTATCAGCCTGTTGCTGGAGCTGACCATTCCTCGCACAGTGGAGTTTTGTCTGAATATTCCCTAATCAACGTGAGGCAAAATGAGCCGTGTTCTGTCAAACAGTTTGAATAACTGTTAAAAGCAAGCCTGACTGATCATTGATGGAAAAAGTTAATCATCAGGCTTGCAAATTACTCCATCACTAAACTTGAGGGAAACTGAAGAAGAACAGGGAGTGGTTATCCTCGCATGGTCCACCTGAATCAAAAAAACATCTGTCCGTGTAGTTTGGTTTATGTTCTGTACCACGGAAAGGATGGCTGCTGAAGACACAAAACCCAATAACCTAAATGACCTGCAGGCTTTTTTCCACTCATATTTCCCCATGATACCATTGCCCTTTTCAGTGGATATTGGGTTCTGATTGCCTTCAGGATTCTCAGCTTGGAGTGCGTCTTCCCACCCCTGCGTCCAGCAGGAGTGAGGAGGAGGAGGCGGCAGCACGCTTTTCTCGGCGGGAGCAGCAGCAGCTGCCTGGAGTGGGGCCGAGGGGATCCGGGTGTTGGCCTTGGGCTGAAGTGAGGAAAAGTGGTTTTGCTTGTGCAGGGTACAAGCGTGCAATCTTAGCGCGCGCTCAGGCTGGTACGGGCAGGGCTCCTAGAAGTCCAAAGAAGGATTTGGAGAATGTGAATATGCAGTCATTATTAATCAGTGATTATCCCAGGTTCACTGGAGAAAGAAAGAGATTAAGTTCTTTTATCTGAATTTTAGCGTTGTAGAAATTTGTGTAACCTCGTTTTGCTACAAATTGAGTAAAAGAATTTTCCTGACTTACCATTAGCCTGAGCACCACTGTACTAGAAGTGACCAACCCACTCCTAGTAGTTCAGTTTTACACATTGTTGATAATATGGTAAAACTGATTCAGAGAGGCACATACTCTATTAAAGCAGTCTGATATGATCAGAATGAAGGCTCTTTTTTTTTTTTTTTTTTTGCCTGGTCCTGACTCTTGTCTCTTCAATATTCACAGAGATGGTCATATTATATATCCTGACAACAGTGCTGCAGCTCTCTCTAGTGTAGGATGTGTTATATTTTGCAAAGGTTGTTGAGCTGCACCAATTCCGAGCTGGGAAAAAAAGAGATGCCAAAACAGCTGTAAAAATAATTGATTCTATTCAGTTCAGGAAAAGAAATATAAAAATGTAAACCTGTGGGAGAAAAAGAATTTTCAACAGGTTTGGCAGAACACCTAAATAGCTTTGTTACAGACAAATTAGAAGCATTTGTTTGCAGTTCTACATAATACTTTATTTATTTTCCAAATTATTTAATTCCTTTCTATTTTATTTTTTTTACTTTATTCTTTTACCTTTTAAAGTTAGCTTAATATTTAAAAATATTTTCTTTAAACAAAAGCAAAAGGTCAAACACTTTGCTTAAAAGCATCAAAACAGAGTGTTTCAGCTTATCTGAAATAAATCATGTGGTTTTAAACCACTGAAATAAATATATGATATCTTTTTTTTTTTTTTTTAACAGCCAAAGCTGCTAAGAATATTTTACCTAAATGCATAGATAGTTTTAGTCCCCTTAGAAATGTAATTTTCCAGCAGAATTATAAGCTATTTACTAGCTCTATTTGGGAAGTAAAATGAAAAAAATTATTTTAAGAGCAAGTAGTTTCTTTTTAAGACGATAATAATTCATATCTTATAGTTCCTGTGCTGACTTTGGAAGAGGTGACGTGTTGATGCTGGCTTCAGGTGTGCATTTCAGAGACCATTTATTTTTGTATAGACTTTGTAGGCTGTTGAGGCAGATTAATCTTCCAGAGGATTTCAGCTGCTGAGGTGCAAAGTGGCGGTCGCAGGGGTGAGCCCTGCGGCGGGATCAGCACACCCCATGGAACTGGCTGTCGGTGTGGAATTAAGGGAGAGCAAGTGCCACAGAAATGTTCCCTCACTGTTCCTTTGAACGTACAAGTGAATTTGCTTTGTTTTTGGGACGCCTTTATATTGTTTTTACACCATCTTCCTTGTGCTTGATGTGCTTGAGCTATGCACTGTGGATTCAAGGTCAAATGTTCACAGGCTATGAATTTTAGATTTGCTTAGACTTGAGAATTCACACAAAATTAGGAGTTACGCTTGCTTAACTGTGGGAATAACATTGAACCACAATGAAGAGGCATAACTAAAATTTTGTAATGCAGATAAGCCAGCTGTAGAATAAATGGCATTTGCCAAAAGACCATTTAAATTAATAAATAGATCTGAGAACACTGGGATCTATTTTCATGAATGGGAACTGTTCATGACTATTCAGCCCTTGGCAAGAGTAGGAGAGCAAAATGGCAACATTTTCAGTTAATGCTCAGGGTCTGATGATATTCGCTCTCAGAGGCCAGTGAATCAGAGTTATGGTACAATAGATGAATTAAGTAATCACGTTTATGACCCAGTAATCACAGTGGCTACTGTTAATATGTATGTTAATTTGTTACCATATTCAGTTTTGGGCCCCTCAAGAAAGACATTGAGGTGCTGGAGCGTGTCCAGAGAAGGGCAACGATGCTGGTGAAGGGCCTCAAGAACAATTCCTGTGAGGAGCAGCTGAGGGAACAGGGATTGTTGAGCCTGGAGAAGAGGAGGTTGAGGGGAGACTTTATTCCTCTCTACAACTACCTGAAAGGAGGTTGTAGCAAGGTGGGGATCGGTTTGTTCAACCAGGTAACAAGTGATAAGGTGAGAGGAAATGGCCTCAAGTTGCACCAAGGGAAGATTATGTTGGATATTAGGAACAATTTCTTTACTGAAAGGGTTATCAGGCACTGGGACAGTTTGCTCAGGGCAGTGGTGGAGTTCCCATCCCTGGAGGTATTTAAGAGTTGTGTAGACAAAGTGCGTAGGGATATGGTTTAGCTGCGGACTTGTTAGTTAATGGCTGGACTCAGTGGCCTTAAAGGTCTTTTCCAATCTAGGCAACTCTGTGATGCTGTGACTATATCTGGCATTTTTTCTGTTCTTTCTGTTTAACTGCATTCTAAGCCCATGTTTTACATGCAGAGCCTTATGCTGCACATGTTTTTGTTTAACAGGTTTGCCTGTTTGCCCAGAGCTGACTCGAGAGCACATTCCTAAAAGCAGGGATGTGGGTCACTTTTTGTCTGTTACTGGGACTGTCATACGTACCAGTTCGGTGAAAGTTTTGGAGTTTGAACGAAATTATATCTGCAACAAGTGCAAGCACGTGTTTGTCGTCAAGGCTGACTTTGAACAGTACTATGCATTCTGTCGCCCGTCGGCCTGTCGTAATGAAGAAGGCTGCAACTCCACCAAGTTCACGTGTCTCTCTGGAACAACCTCTTCTACCTGCTGCAGAGACTATCAAGAAATTAAAATTCAGGAACAGGTAAAAAACCCAAACACATAAACAAACCATGGAGAAAACAGGAAGACATTGAGGTAGAGATGTCACTAGTACAAAAAGAATTAAGATATCTTCAGGATTTTGATCTTATAATTTAAGAGGACAGTGGTGCTAATCTACTCTCAAGGTATATGAAAGCAGAAATGTATGAAATTGGAAATGAAGCTCTTCAAAGTTCAGAATAGCAAAAAATATAGGGGAATAAAAATTTCCTAGGAAATGTCGCATGTTCGTATAATGATTGTTTCTGACATATAGTTTCTCTAACACTTTTTTTTTTTTTTTTTTTTTTTACTGTGCAACACACAGATCTCTATGATGGGAAGGATTTTCGGCAGCATGAGCTTATTAAACACAATAAAGTTAAACCAGGAATGAATTTCAGTTGTGTTTCCTACTGAGCTCTGCAAGTAACTGTGTATGTGCCGCCAGTACTGTCAGTGATGTGAACTGCCTGTGGCCATTTAGGTAATACACAAGGCAGAATTAACCTTCCTAGGCAATAGAAGGTGAATAAAACTAGAATTCTAGCATGTCTGACCTGTGCTGCAGAATGAAAAGGTGCTACTCATTGTTATTCTTGTGCAGTGGATATTCTAAAAACTATTGCAAACCTAAAGGGTGAATGGAAAGTGTTGGGCATTGGACCAGATGATCTTCAGACATCCCTTCCAGCCCCTACCGTTCTGTGGTTCTGTGAAAGATTGCTGGTTAGAAATAGACTGTGACAAAATTGCATAGGCTTTGCCCTGGAGAAAAGAAAAAGAATTACAGGAGTTACCGGCACATTTGTCAATGTACATTTGTCTGGTTGTGTGTGATTTGTTTTTTCTTGTTGTTAATTAAAGTCTTGATACCTAGGTATAAACTTACATCTCAACCTGTCAAATTATGGTTAAATACCAGAAGAATATGGAGAATAGTCTTTTAGTATATACTTCAGAGAAGCGTTATCTAGCCTATGGACATCCTTCAGTACCCAAAGTAAACTTCTCGTCTTGAAGAAGTATCTAAAAATATCTCATGTTATTAAAAAAAAAAAAATCATCACTTTCAACTCACCCCTTTTAGTGAGCTTTCTTCAACAAGATACTGAAATCACACAGCACCTCCCACGACTGAGCACCTTCAGCTAATCTAATACCTACACCCATTCCCATTAATATCAGCATTAAACTTGCATTGTTAAGTTCGTGGCAGCAGTGGCATGCTTACTGTGTGAGCTCTGTGAGGTAAGCGAGGACTGGTCTCAGTTCCAGGAAAGGAATGTAGGTCCTTAAGCCAGAGCAGCTCTAAATGGCTTCTGAAAGGTGCTGTTCTCAAGAAGTGCGTTACCTTCCTGTCTCGTAGGTTCAAAGACTGTCTGTTGGAAGCATCCCTCGGTGCATGGTCGTTGTTCTGGAAGATGACTTAGTGGACAGCTGCAAGTCTGGTGAGGATACAGCATATATCACGTGTGCTTGTACCACGAGCATTTTTATTTTTCCATTTGAGATGAATCTTTACCAAGCAGGCTGTCAGTGCTGTGGCCTTGTTGATTGAGACATGTTCATGACGTCTTGCTCTTTCAGCTTGGACGTTAGCATGGCAGTTGAAGACTATTCTAAAAATGCCATACATCCCCGTGTTACACCTTGACTGTTTGATGGATCACTTTTGATAAGTAATGTGTTGTGACATACAGGAAATATATTAAATCTTGTTCAGTGTGGGAACACCAGACCTCTTGAGGATATTGGTCCACACCATCACACAGTGTGTGGTGCCCCTCTGTAGGTTTGCAGAGCTGGGTAACCTCACCTCCTAGCTAAGGAGTGCTGCAGGTGGAAAAAGCTACTTGGCATTCAGAAAGGAAGCTAATTGGCAGGAGAATGGATGAAGAATAGGCAAAAAATTCTCAGATATGCACATCCCCACAAGAAATTAATTTCTGGATGTTCTTTCTCAGAAGAACGCTGTGGCCAGAATACTAACGAGTGGTCCTGGGATTCATTGCAAAGGTTACCAGGAGTCAAATAAGTTTTGACTATTTTTAATAATAAATCTAACTAAAAGAAGACCTTGTACAGTTTTACCGCAAATTATACCTTTAAGAATTCACTTACTTTAAACATAAATAGAAAGGCATAGCAACTTCCTACCAGAGGCATAAGCAGTCCACTTAATGTTTGTTTTAGACTTCCAGTAACTGCGGGAGGTTTGCTTTTTGTTGTTGAGGTTCTTTAACCTTATTAACTGTAACACAGGATCTCTGTTGTGTTACTATGCATTACACCTGACATATCTGGTATCTCAAGTCAGATGTGATTTTACTAATTTTTGTTGTTACCTCCAGGAGATGACATCACAGTGTATGGAGTGGTAATGCAGAGGTGGAAACCTTTCCGTGAGGATGCACGCTGTGACTTGGAGCTTGTTTTGAAAGCCAACTATATTAAAGTAAATAATGAGCAGCTAGCAGGAGTTGTAATTGATGGAGAAGTCCGCAAGGAATTTGAAGACTTCTGGGAAAAGCATAGGGATGATCCCTTAGCAGGTTAGTAGTTGAAAGCTTTTAACTAGGACACATGTTCAGATATAGATGAAACCAGGAGTAAAAATACAGTGACTGCACACATTTTTCTCCCATTACCCTACCCTACCACCTGTTCCTCCAAAAATGTGTTTTTCCACTACAGGAACACAAAATTCTTACTTTGATGTTACTGGGAAAAAAAAGTACGAAACTGCATTGATCTTCCTTCTTTTGAGCTTTCTACTCAAATGTTTTGTGGAACATATATTAACAAGAAATAATATAAGCATCAGGGAGGAAAATGAAAGCGCTTTAAAATCAAGAAACAAAAAGCATACCTCTCAGAAGAAATAGCACGGACCAGATCTGCTTTTAGTCAGCATAGCTGTTGACTCTGGGGCGTGAGATCTGACTCACTGTCTCTGCATCTCAAATTAAGCTGTGAATCTTTACCATAGAGCTTAGCATATCTCATCTTTAACCTAACTCTTGGATGCCTAGACCCTTGATTTAGGTGCTGTGGGACCTCCTGTCAAATATGAAAAGAGTTTCCCAATTCACAGTGGCTTCCAGCGCAGCCAGAGTGTTTAGTGGCTCCTAAACCTACTGTGGTCTGCAGTCAGCCACCTCGGAACTCGCAGGAGTTGTGTCTGGAACTCTCTCCCTCTCTGTAGTCTGGGTGTCTCCTCCTGAGCCCCAGGGAATCTCAGTGGACTCTTTAGGGTCTCTGTCACTGAACTGTCTCAGGCTAACACTCTGTCTTTTAAAACCTTGAAAAGGACTTAGTCTTTCTTCTTAAAGGACAAACAGGAGGAAAAGCAGGTGGGAATGCTGCCCGTGTCAGCTTAAAAATTAGTGTGCTCGCATAAGAAATTGGCAATCGTTGTCAGTGGCAAAGATTCCTCAGAACCATATTTCCTGGAAAGCAGTTTATAATTGCTAGTCTCCTGCTGTTTGGAATGAGAACATTTCTTATCACCCTGGTTAGTACTGTTCAGAAAGTAGTTCAGGATCCACTTTGAAGATTCCCTTTAATCTTTCATTCTCAGGACAATTTTTGGGAGCTGGCAGGGTGCAATATGGTTTTATGCAATGTTACTACCCATTCAGAATAAATAAATTAATATGAAGTATCTACGAGAAAATCAAGGTGGCAATTAGAAGGACCCCCACTGCCCAAGACGTCTGTTTCAGGTTGTTTGCCTCAATCTGAGTTGAATTCAGGGGGAAAGATCAAATTTGTCTAAAGAGTCTAAGATACAGGCCATTTCACAACAGGACGTGTGTGTGTATGTACTATTTTTCAAGAGATAATGGTAGCTACTACTGCTTTTTATGTCAGTCATTTCCTGATGCTGTGTACTTGGTGTCCGCACAGAGTCTACCATGGCAGGCCTCTAAGACAACTTATGCAAGTGACTTTATTTTTTCTGGGTACTGTCTAGGAAGTAGCAGAACTACTGAGCACTGACGAGGCAGATGAATCTGAAGCCAGGCAGAAGCAGCTGTGGAGCGTCAAGAGTTAGGCCTGTGCCCGTCACTCACCAATGGACAGATGGTCTCTAATAATCCCTCTGCCTCCCCAAAAGTGTGGGGAAGGGGAATAAGGCAGAGACTTACAGATTGAAAAGAAATCTAGAACAGCTTTAATAAAGCAATAGTAGAACTAATAGGGAAGTGATGAAAACAATGGAATAAATAAAAATAAACTAAAATAATGAGCTACATGGAAATATGTACAAACCAATATCGAACCAAACTACCATAACCCAATAGCGAACCCCACTGATCCTGCAGAGCAGGCACCACTGGGGAAGCCCCAGCGTCAGCGGCAGAGGGGAGATGGATACAGGAGCTGGATTTGGGAACTCAGGATTGGAATCAAAGGCAGGAAGTTGGATGGAGTCCTCCTCAGACACTGGCCATTAAAGAGGGGGATGCAGCCTCCGTGATCCCTCAGCTTTATACTGAATATGATGTATATGGAATGTAACACGTTTTTGGTCAGGTTTGGGTCACATCTCCTGTCTGTCCCTCCTTAGAGGTGCAACTTTTCAGGTCCTCATGACCCTTTTACTTCCCGGCCCCCTCAGCATGTGACACAAGATCCAGCAGTGACCTTGGTCACTATAGGAGCAAGTGTAAGTAAGAGCCTTTCTGCATCTCGGTCCTTGGCAGCAACAATAAACATCAGGTGTTACCACTGCTAGTAGCACACACTGTCTGCAGAAACACACTGTTTACTTCAGAAAGTGCAGCCTCTCAGAAGAGACCAAGCTGAAAAGTAAAATTGCTGATCAGAATCGGTTCTGTTTAGCTCAAGTCAGGACAGGAGTTAAATCTTGAGTTATGGTATGGCTGATCAAAATTGTTAAAATTTCTTTTTTGGACAAAGATGTGTTAATTCCTTCAGAAGACCTACACAAGAAACACGTATGCCTCAGGTCATGTGTTAGCTGCCTACATATTTTACCAGTACCATGAGAACTCAAAATTGGTCCCTCTGCTTTATTCCTCAGCAATGGGAGTAATGTGTGGCATTAAACCCCTATGTGCTGTTAGTGTCAGAATCCCAAAGGATGGAATTAATTCTGTTGCACACCTTCCAAGCCAACAGCATTATCATAGCTGGAAAGGGACTATGGTAGAGAGGAGGAAACGGACTTTTGACACAAAAGGGTCAAAGGAGAAGGAGATTCAAGAAAAAAATGAGAAACTGAGCCACGCTGTAGTTGCACAGGCTTAGGGAAAAATACTTCAAATGTTAGATGGGATTTTTTCAGTTTTCCTAAATGTACAACACACCAGCTTTCAAGGGGATATGTTCAAGTCTGGAAATTTTTAAATTCTGTCCTTCATAGCCCCTATGCTTTTATCTGTGAAATAGAAGAATTGGCACGATGGCGTTTCATTAGTGCCTTTCCTCACAATATCCAGACCGTACATTCCTTATGTTGTGATAGGGTTGGCTTTGCTACTTGTGACAGCAGAAGACTTCTATACAATGAAGGAAGTTTGGATCCAACAACTGCTTTGGGTCTCATTTCAAAAATAAAATAATAAAAAACATCTCCTCTTGTTCAGGAAGGAGACCCAAATTATTTCTGAGTGTGTGTAGGACTGTGGACATGGGACAATTTTTTGTCAGTGTACGCAGGACTTTAAGTGTACGCAGGAGTCCATGTGAAACCAGGGCAGTGCTGAGTGCCACTTTTTGCTCCCAGAAGACTGTAGGAAATGAAGGAAATTTGGATTCAACAACTTCTTTGGGTCTCATTTCAAATATAAAATAATAAAAACATCTCCTCCTGTTCAGGAAGGAGACCCAAATTATTTCTGAGTGTGTGTAGGACTGTGGACATGGGACAATTTTTTGTCAGTGTACGCAGGACTTTAAGTGTACGCAGGAGTCCATGTGAAACCAGGGCAGTGCTGAGTGCCACTTTTTGCTCCTGTTCCAGGGAGGAATGAAATTTTGGCTAGCTTATGTCCTCAAGTGTTTGGACTGTACCTGGTGAAGCTGGCCGTAGCCATGGTGCTTGCTGGTGGTGTCCAGAGGACTGATGCTACTGGGACTCGAATCAGAGGTTGGTATTGTTTCTCATAGTATCACAATCTTTCCAACAGTCGTTCCCATCCCTGACTTCACCCATGTTTCTTTACCCCTCCAAAATCAAACCAATAAAGTTTTGGAAATGTATTAATCCCATTTGCTTGAGGGAGAGCAATTTTTGATCAATGCTGAATGCTCTTCCAGAATCTTAGACACATAAAGTGGGTGTCTAGACTTCCTCTTTTTATTTTAATTTTTCCCAAATAAAAATAAAAGCAGGCATTCAAGATTCCATTATGTAGAATATTAAAGGCAGTTATTTTAGATAAAACATAAACTCACTTTTTATTGTGTAAGTGACAATTTAAAATGATTTCTGGTACAATATGCCCAGCAGTATTTGGCATCAAACAATGGAATATTAACATTACCTTAATGTTGATTACTATCATACATTGAAAGGAAAAATTAAAGGATTCATTTTACTTCCTAATGCCAGACTTTTCCATCTGTGATTGTCAGCACATCTCGCTTACTTCTGTTACTGTAAGTTATCTGCCTGCTGATTCTCCTTCTGTTGTTATTAGATGGCAAATATGGCATGTGCCAGGTGGTGTGCAGGTCATAATCTATGTAGGTCATAATAATTCTAAAATAGTATGTCTGTGTATACAAATACAGGATTTTCTTAATGCTCCAGCAGCTATATAAAGTTAGAGACTTTATATTTGAATTGAAGTTGTATTCATACAACAATTGAAATAATTTTAGAGCATTTCAGTGAGATTGTAGCAGCCAAATTATTGACTTCTGTAATTTCATTGTTTTGAAATTACTAAGTTGTATAACTGTTGGCATCATAACAGAATTAGTTAAAAAAAACAGCCTGCTGATTTTATTTGTCCTTTTTGCAATAATTAAAGTAACTGAATAGTGAAATGGTTACTAAACTCTCGTATCCTTTTGTTTCATGTTAAAGAGTGAGTTGAGTCTAAGAAATGAGTATTATAAAATGTAAGAACTCACATTATGGGAAGTATGTCAAATACCTGCTAATATTTTAGAAAAATTTAATTGTAGGTATTCGGTGCAGCAATATGTCCAGATGCTTTTATTAAACAGGATGTTTAATAATTGCACCCAATAAACAGTGCGGTCTTAAACAGAACTACATATTGTGATGTATATGTAGTGCTAAATGTTAGGTTATAATGAGAAGCATTATTTAATTCTGAGGATTTTGTGTATATCGTTCTCTGTATATAAACTGTCAACTCCTACATCGATGTTTTCCCCCAAGGTGAATCGCATCTTTTGCTGGTTGGAGACCCAGGTACAGGGAAATCTCAGTTTCTCAAGTATGCAGTAAAGATTATGCCACGTTCAGTGCTCACTGCAGGAATCGGATCTACAAGTGCAGGTATGTGCTTCTTCAGCTGGAACGCTTCCCTTTTTTCACTCGAGTATCTTTGTGTAGAGGCCTCCTACACCTAGGAGCATATGTGCCTGGGTCATACGAGCACAGCTGAAGCCAAGAACTGCTGTGGAGCTCTGTGAGGCTTGACGTGACTCTGCAGAAGGGCAGTCCTGCCCCTTCTTCTGTAGCAATGGAGCGGTGTGATGAGCTTCTAACAGAGCACCTTAAAAGCCTCGTCCAGAGGCACCTCTCACTGCTTCGCTGTATTTTTAGTGTTCTTCCAGCGATGACAAATAGGACATCTTTCCAGAGCTCACACTGGGTGATGGGCTAGCATCATTTGGTTTCTCCTGAATAGATACTCTCCTCTCTTCTGTTACTGTGTTTTTCTTATGTTCCGGCTGGGTGCCAGTTTGATTTCTGCTTACTTTCTGGAAACTCACCCCTGTGCTGAGGAATTATTCCTCACTCATAAAGATGATTTCAGGATGGTTTCAGAGAGCAAGCTTTGTTGTTGTTGTTAAATTTAGGTATGTTCCAGCTGGCTGTGAATGCCACATATCTTTACAAACTCTTCTGGGGACAATGTGCATTGTCAGGTTATGTCTGCAAATGACTTCATTTGAGCGAATGACTACATTACTAGTACATTCAAAATCACGAAATAATTAGGGACAAACCCCTGTGTCTCAGCTAGCATGTGTAACTTCAGTGTTTCTCAGATAGGGATGCTTTTCATTTTATGTCTGAGAAACAGCATTATTCATCCATGAGAAAACCAGAGAAAAAATCTTTTCCAGTTCCATAGCTGAGTGTTTACGTGTATACTGGGTCTTCCGTAGCTGTGGAAGTGGACCGTGATATTGAACACATATTCTTGTGTGTAAGGAGCTTGGTATGAATCACATATGCCTCTGGTGTTCCATTCAAACTGTTGACAAAAAGGTCTGGAGAGAAGCCAGAGAGACCATTTTGGCTCGGCATAACCTTTTCTCCACCTTTTGTTCTATGCTAAGAACAGGCTGGATAATTCAAGTTTTGCTAAGGGGACTAACAGTGACCTGCACTGAAGTTTTGCCATGTGTTTCAGTGGGACTTTGCCCACTTTGTCAGTAGTAGTCTCCCTGAGTCAGCCGCTCTTGGCCTCTGATGTTGCTGTTGCCTTCTTCACTGTATCTCCCTCCTGTGCTTCATTTTCTGGAAGATCTGGTTTCCAGCTCAGCCGTGATAGCTAGGTTCAGAGACATTTCCCTGAAAACCGGTATCACAGTTTACAAGCTTACTGTGGTATGCGTGCCACAGAATCAGCTGTAACGATGTGTGGAGATGAGTTTCATCTTGTGAAAGGATCGCCGTGGGTCTTTACATCATTTACGTTTCACTTAAATATCCCTTATATTTTAAACAGCCTCTCGCTTTCCCAGTCCCACTGCCCCCCTGAAAAATTTGACAGGAAGCACACCAAATTTCTACCTTAAAAAACTGTAGGACCCTCATCGTGAGTGAAACTTTAGTCCCTAGCAAGAAATTGTATTAACCCTAGTTTAATCTCAGGGAACCTTTCCATGGCTAGAACTGCTGGACTAAAGCATTAGTTTTTAGCCCAGGAGTTTGGATGTATTTAAAATTATTAGTCTTCCCTATGCAAGGAGTGTCTTACTTACGAAAATCTGTAACTGCACCTAACATTAATTTTGTCAACCTCTTCTTTGTGCAGAAGCTCCAAATGATGAGTTTAGAGAACTTATTAAACTGCTTTACTTTCCTTGCACTTATTGAGTGCACACTTCAAATCACCAGTCTCTGTTTTCTCACAAGAGGAAAGTGCTAGTGCACGTTTTTCCTTCCAGTATACAAAGACTAAATCTGTAAGTTCCACTTTCAACTAGTTCTTTCTGCGAAAAGCAGTCTGGATTTGCAGTTTAATTGCTGGCTCTGGGATTACAGCCCACGTAGGCCAAAAGGCGCACCTGAGATACACCCTGGAGAAGTGCTAAAAGCTGTCTTATATTTGGATCCCTCTCTTAGGGAAAACTGCTGATATCTAACCTACCTTTGGTGAGATTTTTGTGCATTAACATGTTTTGTATCCTTTACCCATCTGGTAGCGTAGTAGGACACGAGCTATTTATCAGCTGTAGAATTCTGCTTCCAAAACTGTCTATCATCAGTTTTCCCTGGTTTTCTACACAAGTGTTTATTGGTTCCAGGACAGCATATTAACTCACTAACATTCTCCTTGTGCCATAATTCCCTTTCTTTCCAGCTCCATCTTAGGTATCATGTGCTTTGAGTTCTACTGTGAACCCTTGTGGCCCTACAGTGTCATGTGCTGCAGCCTACTACCCCATCCAGACCTAAGCGGACCTATGTCACAAAATTGCCAAAAACAGTGACCTAACTCCACAGCTTGATTTGCTGTCAGGCCCCTGATCTTTCAATCAGGTTTCTGCCTCCCCCAGCATTTTTAAAGCAAGGACTGTGCGTCATCAGGTGTGTTTCACCCGATTGAGAAAGTATGACCCAGGCTCACACCTTTTTTTCTTGTTCTAGTGAATCGGTACGGAAGACCTTCACCTTTCTTACCTCACCAACAGGCTCCAGTTGCCTACTTGCAGCAAACAGCCCTTACAGATGATCAATAATCTTATCTTGGAAAAAAACGGAACTTTACTTCCACTCTGTGCGATAGCATTTCTGACTTTACTTGGTTTATCAGGTTGCCTTTCTTATGAACATGTAGTAGAAATTTTCTCCTGAGAGTTCTCTGCCAGTTTAGGACTTCTGTGAGGAACCAGGGTTTGTTCCTCCCACACTTCTTTCATTAAAGTTGGCAGCCAGAAGACCAGCCCACATTCAGCCACTCAATGGCAAAAATTTATTCGACTTTCTGATTTGTAAGTAAAAGTAGGGAGAACCATATGTCCCACTGTCTGGTTCTGTGTACAGAGTGTTTAGTTTTTTTAAAGGCCTGGTTCATTCTCCTCAGCTAGCCTTTCATCTGAGAATCACAGGGAGTCATTCAAGTGCCCTTTTTAGAAACTGATACATAGTTTCACAGGAAGACAGACTTAGTGAGGTTGAATGAAATCTCTCTGTGAGTTCCCACCTTACTGCTAAGATTAACCAACTGCTTTTCAGTCCCCAGAGCCATAGTGCTGCTTGTGCGTATTTCGATGAGATAGTCACCAGTAAGAAAATATTTTATTTACCCCTGGAGCTTCAGATCTGCAGCGATAATTGAGTGGTGTGTTTGACTCCACAGGGACAGGAGCACCACAGCTGCTGCTGGTGGGGCTGGAGCTCGTGGACATCTGGTCCAGAGTCATTCTGCTGCTCCCTGGTGCATATTTGGCTTTTCACATTTCTGTAGAGTTTCGTTGCTTGTTGTGTCCCTTCACAGATGGACTGCTTAAAGAATTTTGTGAACTGTATTTAGAACAGCTTGTCTAGAAATCTGGGAAACTATCAGCTGTTTCTCCAGCTCTCCAGTTCTGTGCAATATGCCTTCCCGAGCTGGATGCAATGCAGCCTTCTGGCCTCTCCTCACACAGCCTCTACAGAGCCTGGAGAGCACTGCCTTTTTGCTGTTCTCTTCTGCAGCCCAGCTCTCGTGACACACACTGCAAGACCAGCCTTAAAAACCAGAATTTTAACTGGAAACATACACACAAATGAGAAGGCCTAGCACGAACAGTCCCACACGCACTGCCAGCCCGTACAGGTAGTTGAGATAGTTGTCAGTTCTGTTGCGTCTTCTCCACTGGCACTGAGCAGAGCCCTTCCGCTCTCCCTGACAGTTAACCCATCATCTCTGGACCAAACTTCTGTGGCTCTCAAAAAAAAAACCAAGGAAAAAAAAAGAGAATCTGCAAGCTTGTAGACCATTGTGCTATGGATAGGAGGGAGGGAGGGAGGATAGTTAAGTACAGGTGTGAAGGATCTCTTGCAGCTGCCCAGACAGAAGCTACAAGACATAGTTAACTGTGCTCTTCTTCTCTCTCTGGTAAATGACAATTTGTGAGGAGTGTACATACATAAGGCGTTTGTTTTTTTTTTTCCTTTTTCTTTCCTACCACCATTTTCAGAAGGCAGTGGGCAGTCTTTGTCCAGTTGCAAGTGGTTAGCCCCCAGTTTGAACTGACTTCCAGAAAATCAACAGTTGCGGCCCTACAACGAAAATAATGAACTGTCAGATCATCAGATTTATCCTGGTGATGTTGTCACTCCCATCTCATGAATACAGATTGTCTGCTGAGCAATAAACAAAGGTACTTAGTTACTGTAGCAAAGTTCTGAGTTGCTGCAGCCTTGAAGATAAGGGTTGGCTTTTGAAGATAAGGTTGTACTAAGGGTTGGCTTTTCCAGTGGGGCTTTGTAGAGCCACTGAAGAGGTTAAATTTCACCAGCCTCCGTTAAGGTGGAGCTGGAGCCTTTTTGCCCCCTTCAAACTCAAAGTGTTGTAGTAATTCAGACTGAAGGTGATGCATGAATAAATCACAATGACTGTAAGATGAAGGGACAAGTTTTTTTCAAGCAAGACATAAACACTCCACCCATTTTTCATCTGTAACATTACCTTGTCTGATCCCTTTGCTTCTTTGTACATGAATAACCTCTGATAAGCATTATGACAATTTTCTAATGGAAGTGAGTCTATGTGAGGTAAAAATACAGTGAGATGCATCACTAGCCCTTTTCATAGAATCTCGCATTCCTCTGTATCTTGGTGGTCTCTGCAAGTGGAGGTTTGTGGGAAGGTGAAATCCTTGACCTTGAAATTTTAACATTGTGCTGTCTGCCACGTGTGCAGCCCTGCTGTTTAAGAACTTTCAGAGGTCAGGGACAAGTCTTTATAGAGATGCCTTTTAGGCACCGTGCCTTTTAATACCACTGACTTCGTGCTGTGATGTTGCTCAGTGGTCAGACTTGAAGCCTCTGGAGTACTGATATTTGGTTTCTCAAATTGTGTGTCTCTGGAATGTGATTTTGCCAAAAAGTACAATATTCAGAAGACAGTGGGTACGGACTGCTAAGATCTGGGCGAAGTTGCGTAAGACCTGAGAGACATCTAGTCTCTCAAAAAGCAGAGAAAGACCATTTCTCTTGCGCAGATCATGAGGTGCTCTCATGAGATATGGTTGTTTTTCACCCAGCACAGTAGGGTTCTTTTTCCTGTAACTGGTGGCTCAGCTCTATCTAGGATGTGTTAGTGTACTGGGTGAGGTGGAGTCAAACTCTACTGCAGCATCTAGCTTGAAGTTTATTGCACCCAAATTCATGTGCACAGTTGACTTCCTTCTTCCTAAACAGAACAATATATCTTCACTTTCTGATTTCTCTAAATAAACTGGTTTGCTGGGTGACCTAGTCTCACTGACGGTATGTTGTAGCTGATTCTGGAATAACAGTACCATAGTTTCCTTCCATCACTTTGTGGCATACGCTTCTAAGAAGCATTCATCCTACTGATGGATGGATTCTGGGTACAGCTTGTACTTGATCATGTTGTCATTTAAATTTTCAATAGGTGCAAGGGTTTTAAAATACTAGTACAATAGCCTTCACTCAAGACAGACTTCATTAGGCTGCCAATCTTTCAGCAGATGACGAAGTTATTTACATGCTTACATTTAAAAGGTATCTTAAAAAGATTTATAAATGGAACAATAAAGTGCATGAAAAATCTCAAAATGTCACTGCAGACCTTAAAGGTTCAATATAATTTAAGAAAGATCTTTTGATTTTCAAAGTTCACATAATTTCAGCCCTCAAGTGAAGCAGCTGCTGGTTTGGGAGACGAGTTATTTGTGTTAAATCATACCAATATTAGAGTCTAATATTTTTAAATTGCTCATAATCATCTGAAACAATTACAGAAAGATTTTTAAGGGCACACATTAGAATTAGGGTTCCAAATATTAATAGCTTTCATTGAGTCATTCAGCATCTATATGTACTGCTGAGTTTCCATACAAGAAACAAACACGTGCATGTACATTCAGATCAGGTCATTCCTTTCTGATTTCAAAAATATACATGTTAGGAATGAAGACAATTTCACTAATGATGTAGAAAGACAGAAAGTGCTAACTGCTTGGTACATCTTCATCCCTATTAGAGAATGCAGAAAGAGGAGAGAAAGCATTCTATTTTTATTCAGAGCTATACTGTCAGTCATCATGAAATCCACGTTTTTTTAAGGGCCTGGAACCTACAAGGGTTCCAGCTTGGGTGGTTACTAGTAACTAGCAGAACTGTATTCCTGTAATCTGACATGACAGATTATAATTTTAAATGCACATATAGTCACAGTAAATGTCTAAGCTTAATAAGGATTGGAAGGAATAACTAAATTGTTAGTGTCATAATAACATCTTAAGTCTTTGCAGTTTACTGCTTACTTCTTTTTATCTTCAAGAATGCCTCGGGTAACAGGGATGGCTCAGTGCAAAAGCTTCAGGGAAGACAATGGATTCTTGAGTGTTTTGTGCCCATTACAACAGGGTTTGAATCTTGATTTATACTAGTGCATATGATTGGTTTAAAGGGTAGAGACAAAATAGAAAAGTTGTAAACTCCAGATGTTTCCAAAAAAAAGAGAAAGCAAGCATTAAAAAGACTACAAAATTAAAGCATACCTGAAAATAAATGTACCAAGCAGCAGTTGTACAAAATAACCTTGTAGAAGAGCATTTTTGATACTTGCACTTATTCCTTTTGATGCTTAAATTTTCTAGTAATTGCTTGAATCCTTCCAACCAAATGCATGTGCTAGTAAGGTGGCCAAAGAAGTGTTTTTTCCTGAGATACCTATCCCAATCCACATGAAACATTGTCCTTAACAAACAACAGTTTGACTAAACAGCAGCAGCAGGAGATTTATAAAAAAAAAAGTCCTAAAATCCAAGATAGCAGATGGTAAATCTCAAATTGCATGCTTTAAGTAACAAGTATGTGCCTTGAAAGGAAAAGAAGCTTGCACCTAAAATTATACTGCGCTGTCTGCTTTCACAGCAAGAGGACATTTTTGGACCTTTTCTAAGAGATAGTTTTTCCTTTACACTGCATCTAATGACAGTTTTGTTCTTAAGCTGCTATTAAAGGGCACTTTATATTTGGCAATCTGGATATCAGAGAGGAGGACATGGCATTATTCGTTCATTTTGCCTGAACATTTTAACTTTGTTTTTAGCTTTTAACAGTGCTTACAAAGGAAAGGGGAGGGGGGAGAATACGTATGCTTTAATCAGGTTTGCTTTAGACCACATAGAATAACACATTAGAGAAAAAAGGCAATTACTTAAAAATAGTTGTATTTATATTCCACAATTTGCTCAAATACTGTTTGTTTGGTTTGGTTTTTTTTTTTATATAAACTTTCTACAGGATGTTTTAAAACAAGTTCTTCACATTGCTTGTCAACTATGTACTTATGGAATTTGAGGGAAATAGTTCTGGTTGTTTTTACAGTTTAACACATGTACAGTACCAAAATGATGGTGGTTAGTCACATGCAGTCCATATGAGATTCTAACATAACATTTAATGAATTTTCTGATGTTGACCATCCCTTTGATGCTGAAGGTAATGCATCTGTAGAAAGCAGTGACTGTAGATTTGGGTTACTGCTCTCTGCATCTTCCAGTTTTTCAGTGTTGTCCTCCCAATTGATGTGGAATCTCGTGACTCTGGGATTAGATGCCAAAATATTCCTCTGAAGCTGAGAGAGAAGAAAATGTACAGATTATGTAACAAGTACATGTCAGAGTCCACGTTCATATAGATGTTTTACTTCCCATAGTCTTGTATGTGTAAAAGAATTGTTTAAAAAGGCAATTCATATAAATACGAATCTACAGCTACTATCCATGAATCAGGCGTTCAGAAACACACCACTCATTCATTTACTCTAATATCCTACTCAGCAAAACAACTGCTTTCTTGAGAGGATATTTTTAACTGTTCTAGGAGTTCAAGGCTGTACAAGAACTCTGCAAGTAAAGTGCAGGTGTTTATTATTTTAGGCAGCTTTTAGCAGAACAAATAACTACTCCCACAAAGATTTTGCAAACCACAGTACTTCATAAACATCAACTTTATGGAATGGATACAATTACTGCAAACAACACCAGCTGTCTTCATTTAAGACTACAACCTCTCCTTAAATTAAATGACCATGCTTCATATTGATTTCACTAGCTGAATTTTAATTCACTTATTCAAGTTTTAAAATCAAGACATTACTTAGATTTGAATGATATTAATATTGTGGCAGTGGACATGCTTAGCCATTAGTCACATATTTTATTCTCATGGCTGGTCTTCATTTTTCCTTTGAAAACATGCTGTATGCTACATATGCAGCAAAAAAGAAAATGCTCACTTTCTCTTGATCTTTCACCATTTTCAAGACAATATATAGTTAAAAGGATGGGAACTTACCACCATTGGCCACTCATTATGAAAGTTAAGACTGATCACAGAAAGTGTGATTTGGTAGTAATGCCATTTTATGCTCCTAGGAAGTGCATTCACATGAAATATTTCCCAAACCCTTATGCAAACTAACAAGACCTAGTTGGGTCTTTTACCCATCAATTAATCAATTTAATAACCTTCTACTTATATGTTTAAATTCTGTCCCAAAGTCACATTCAGGACTTTTCATACAAATATATGATAGTTTTCGCTGTTCCTTTTCATAGAAGCAGAGCTAGGTTTTTATATGAGTAGAGAATTAAGACAACTGGTTCTAGGCATTTCTAAATTCAAGTGCTTAAAGGAAGTCAAAATTCTGGCATTTGCACCCAAAATAACAAGTATGTATATGATTTAAATGAAAGAAAAAAAGAAAGGAATGAATTATAAGTTTAAGAATCATCAAAATTAACTGTAATTTTGAATTTGGAGAACATATTGAGCATCTGATCCCTGAAAATTAAGTTAAACATAAAAATCTCTAGTGACTTTTAGAAAACAATTTACATACAAATTCAGCTTATTTAGACTTTCAGATCAGTTTCAGGGACTATGCGGATTATCTTTGTACTAGTCATTAGAGTACATGCACTATCTCATTCATTTCTTCATATATAGAGTAATAGAATTTGTGCAAACTTGAGAAATAACAATTTTCATCATCCCACAACACTGGAACATAAGTGTGTAAACAGGAACATCAGCTTTCACAACGAGCAAACCCAACGCCACAAATTCATCTGTGAAAGCAAACCTGGATGCTGTGTAGAACCTTGTAGGTTTGTACGGTCTGGGTAGAGTATTTCACAGGATTTTGACTGCTTTTTAATGTTTAATTGATCCTTCTTAAGATACTAGGTTTCAAATAATTTTACTTCACATCATCTTTTAATTGTAGTCCTGGTTTAATTTTTGCTATGAAGGACATCTATTTTTTTAAAACTTAATCTGTATATTTTCTTGGTCAAGTTGCCCATTGATCTGATAATGATAATCATCTAACCTGCTCTGACGAGGTTACCCCTCTTCTCTCATTTTATACATAATTCATTCTTCAGTTTGTTATGGTTTTGCAGAAACTACAGTTCTAACACCAGAACTGCTGGATAACAACTGTGTTAAATAGTACTTAAAACTTAGTTCAAGCTTGACTGTCCTTGAAAAAAAAAAAAAAACCCAAAACCAAAAAAAAGGCACTCTTGTTCTGAAAACAGAGCCACTTTGTCAAGAGTGATGCAGGTGGAGGGAACCCAGTGGCTTATTTTACACAGACAGTGTAAAAGAATAATGAATTCCAGCCAAGGCTTCAAGCTGGTGGGAACTGTTGCAGGTTTCTCAACGTTCTCCAAGTTTATGGAAAACTACATGGTGCTTCTAGTTTGTCCCCTCAAGTCTCTTCTGTTATCTGATGCCTCATTCCATGCACTTTATGGAATCACTTGGGGTTTGGTTTTGTCTCTTAAAAACCTCTTTCTTCAAGCATACCTTTGATATATAGATAGAACAAAACATGCCTTACCTTAGAAAAATCTGGCTTTACTGGCGGATTCTCTCTCAGCTCTGTTTCAGTATATTCATTGTTTACATAGTAGCCGACTCTAATAAATTCTTGACCTCGATAGGTGCATGTAATTAGCACAACTGTTACACCTACTGCATCTGCATCTGGAATAAGCCCTGGGTTCGGTGCATCAGCCTAAATGTGAAAGGGAAAGACATATTAAAACAAAATTGATACCACATACCTATCCGACAGGGGAATCTTAGGTAGTATGTCTTCGTAGCTGAATAGTAACTCTATTTAAAATTGTTCTTAGCGTTAACCAGAAGGTACCTGCTTTCACAACATCAACCCTGAATTTAGGACAATATCTTCTAGAAACAGAATTACTTTGAATACAGTAACATTGTGTGTGTGCTGACATTTCTCATGCGTGATTAAGCAGCTTTGATCCAAAACTGCTTTTAAATACATAATGAGCTGAACTGTTGTTTGAGCAAGTGTACTAACATCCCCCCAATTCTACAGTGCCATTGCTCTCCAGCCCATCTTTATAATTTAGTAGAGTGTGGATTTTTAGTTTTTTTTTGTACCTTTGAGGTTGAATTGGTCAGTATATGTGTTTAACATGGCTAAACCCTTAAAAATAGAGACTGCAATTTATGCTGCAGCAAGAAGAGCAGGGACGGGCTATGGTGAGATTTGGGCTGTCCCACAGATTTCTAGGGAAGGAAGAAACTACTGTCCCTCCACACGCCCATGTTCGTTAAAATGCATGCAGTTAAATGCATCATCATTTTAAGACATCTGACTTATCTTCAGCCAGGATGCAATCCTAATTGATAGGCAACTCTTATCACCTTCCTCAATGTCCATGCTTACTGTGGCTCCGTAGTAACTAATAATCAATAAAATGTGCCTCCTAAAATATCCGTTAAAATGCTTCCTAGCTACACATTTATTGATAATACGTGATGCCTCATCCTGCAGTAGGATTTAAAGTAACACCAATCTAAGCATAAATGAAACACCTTCACATTTACAGTTTTACATGAAGATCCGAACACATGTGCTGCAAGTATGCATTAATGACGTGGTTCGGGCGTAACAAATCCTGCCTGAGGACAGGAATCTTGATGGAGGACGAATGGGATTAATTCCTGCCATCCCTCCCATCCTTACTTCTCTGTAGTATTTATATACTCCAGCTCTTTGACATTTGGGAGCTGGTGGTCACACAGCACAGGCTTCTGCTCCTCGCTACTTCAATTCTAAGCCTTCAAACCAGGTTAGCTTTTTATAAGAAGCAGTAGGCACTCTGCAGAAGAACTAGATGAGTCAGACCCCTTGGGTACAAATATACCAGGGGAAGGAGAAGAAACCAGGGACTCGGGTGGAACACAACTTCCTCCAAGGATGCCTCGAAGGCATCAGAAAAATGACCAAATGGCCTTACAACTCACACACGGGAATGGAAAAGATGACCAAGGAAGTGTAGAAGCTTGAAAAAATCACTACAATTGCCAAAACAGACAAAATTACTACTTCAGCTCAGGTAGTCTTGTTCTCACAGTGCCCAGGACCATTTGATTACTCTAAATTCCACAGTAGGCAGTTACAGACTAATGTATTGCAAAAGGACTCTGTTCCATTTAACTGCCCCATGAAGCTCAACTCACACTCTAATGTGGGATTTTAGTTCTTCCAGGATCCCATTGCAATTTTCTGTCCTGTAATATCCTATTATGCAGTTGTGAACCCAAGGAAATACTCTGCTTTAATCATACTTAGCTCTAAAGCATTGTTTTGCTGAGTGGAAGAGATACTGAACAGTTTTTAAAACTGTTTTGTTTTCTCAAATGTTGAACTGCCTGCCTTGGATGTCAAACTTCTTAACTGTCTGGGAAAGAAATGATCATACACAAGTGGTAAAAAAAGAAGAGCTTGGTATGATCAAGTGGTAAATGACAAGTTGCAAATATGTTTTGGTAGGCAAAAAGAGGCAGTAGATTAACTTTTGCATAAAAATCACTGTCTTAATATGCCATTCTTATGCTAGAAATTGTTTAAGAATTTTATGAAACCACTCAGTGTATATGTTGTCTTGAATTATCTTGCTTTTCCACATGATACATCTAGTCACACATTTATTACTGCAGAGTAGGTAGCTAAGGTCATATCCCCACTTAAAGATAGTAAATTATTTACATGCTTATATTCTCAAAAAAGTTTCTGTGTATTTATTACGAATCCCCAAGTACAGAGAGAAGGAATCAGGTTTCGCTACTTATATCTTGGTATTTAGAACCAAATAGTCCAACATGTGGGCCTTCAATATTGAAACCTTTTAAAATGTTTTTTTTTAAAAAAAAAGAAAAAAAGGAGCTTGTTTAAGTCTGAAAAGCACAATAACTTTCCGTCTTTCTACATGCAAGGCTGACTTCCCAACCTGATACTTAGCTTCTTTTTAAAGATAATTTTATCATCCATAGTATTTTATCTGTGTAGTGCTCTATTTTTACTTGCTGTTTCAGCAATTTTCCTATTTAGAAAAATCTATATAGTGTAGTAGCTGAAAATTTTCTATACCTCTGCAAAGGTCCTTTCCTCATGCTGTCTCTAGCACACACATACAATCTCTTTCCTTTATCCTGTACGCCTTCTGCAGTTCTGTGCTTTGCCCCGGCTGTCCCTTGCTGGTTCTCTCCATCGCCCAGGCTGCTTCAGTTTGGGGATCAAATCAGCTTCAGTCACCAGCAAAGGCTTTATTGCAGCGCTCTGGGGTTTTTTTGGTCTCTTGCTTACACATTAGCCGAGTCCCACCCCCACCTCAAATCTCATGCTTCTGAACAAAGTCGAATACACTTAGACCAACAGTACTTACGTAAGAAATAAGAGACACTTCATTACAATCTAAGAAAAATGTCTACTTATCTACTCTTAATTTAGCTGTAGTGTCAGTTAAAACCAGAATACAGTTGAGTCGATCCTACAGAAGCTGCAAGACCAGTAAATAGAATTGTCAAGGCCTTCCTAACCATACAGACAAAACATGCCATTTTAGGCAACTGCCTGCTGCTTCTTCCCATCACCAATGAATTTTCATAACTTCGTTAGTAACAGTGCATCTTTGAAAGAAGAAACGTAAAGGCAGCTGATTTCTCTGGATATAGAGCTACAAGGTCTGAGGGCAATAGAGCATCACCTGTTTCTGACCAATTAATTCTGTAAGCTGTAATAGCTTGATAATGGAAGAACTGTTAATAAATGATGCATTTGTTACACGTGTTCTTTACTTGCAGTGTGGAAAAAGTTAGGCCCAGCTCCAAAACCAAAGAGAAATGTTTCAAGATTGATTTGCACATGTGTGGTTGATAAACATAACCTCGAGCCCAATCCTATTCCTTTAGCCTGTCCTGTCAGAAAAAAATAAATTCCTGGAACTTGTAGGATTAATCAAGATGCCTCACAAATGTTGATACTATTTTAAAGCAGTTGCAATAATTGTGAGAACAAAAGAAAGTGTATTCATTAACACATTTTTGTTAATAGTCATACTCCAGCACACAACTGCCATTAAATAGTTCAGTGAATTTATAGTATGTAGGAAAGTAGCATGGTTCTTACACAATAAGCTATACTCAGCTTCAATCTGCTTTTTCAGCTGATGGATTTTGCTCTCAGTTTACAAGATAAATGCTAGTATTTGACAAATAGAGAAAAAAAACCCCCACACATAGTTTTGATTTAAAAAAACAAACCATAAACAAGCTTCTGTAAGAATTAAGCAAGTCTGCTTAGTTTTTTTTTACCTCCTTGCTAACTTAAAATGGAAACTGGAATAGGCTACTAAGCCATCTTAGTGCTGCTGTTCTTTCCCTGTTTTCCTTCACTTCATTATTCCTTTGTAATAACTTTCAGCTTTAACAGCAGTACTTTAACAGCAGGACTGTCACATGCTCCAGACTTTGCTGGACAGTTTTGATCCACACACTTGTGTTCCAAATACCTGCTATCTACCACTGGAATTCTGTCTTATTTTACGAAGGGCTGTATTTTGCTGTGATTTAGCATGCTTAGCCAAACATCACAATTGAATGGTTATCCTGCCAAATAGAAATGAACTCTTGACTGTTCTAGCAGAGTTTTGCAATGAATTTGTTCACCTGATCTTCTGAAGATGTTGTCTGCGTTAACCCAATGCTCTCAGTTGTCTGAAATTGCCACCAAGTGCAGCAGTTAAGCCTGATGGTCCTAGTATAAACTAGGTAACTGGCACTTTTGATTACTGAATAATCTAGATAGAATATATTTATAAACCAGACTGGTCAAAATTATCAGTAGCTACAGGAACAGCGCTTATATCACTATCTCTAATTATTGCTACCACAAGGGAAAATATTACCATGGAAATATCAGGGACAAGAAGTATCAGCTCAGAATGTATATCGTACCTGAAGAGCTGACTAAAGCATTTTTCTAGCTTACCACTATTTTTCAAGTGCCTCTGAGTTTGATACAGGCATCTTTAAACAAACTAAGGTAATGCTTTTAGAAAAAGTGAAATTAAACTTACCTGAAATACAAACATATGTCTGCCTGCAGGAACAGGTCCTACCAAAACAGAGTCTAACACCTGATCATACTCTTCACTTTCAGCTGAACCCACATAAATTATTTTCCATTCCAAATCTACAGCAAAACAAACAAACAAAAAAACATAATCAATATTATTTATGATTACAGTTAAGGGTCTTCCACTCTTACCTATCTACAGTGTTGCACAGCCTAAGAATTGATTCTTTAGCAATGGGCCTAAAATAACAAGGGCATGTCTTCACTGGGGAAATTTAGCAATGCCAGCCTCAGTCCTCGTGAACCAGACCATCCCACCACCTCTGTCTAGTCAGTTGGTGTCGCAGGTCAGGTTAATAGGTTAATTTTCAAATAGTCAGGTTAATTTTGAATTTTTTTTATAGAGCAAAGGACCCAGGACAGGCCACATTCAGCATCTTTTCAAAGTCTGTCTGAACGGCTGCAGCACAGGGACGATGCACTATATACGCCTACAATGCACTGCAGGCCTTGAATACCGACTCACCTCCCCAGAAGAAATTCCCACCTTCCACATACACACCTGACAGTTCAAGTTACACAGATCACGGAAGGTAGTTAATTGAGTAAGAAAACCCACTGTGTAAGCACCAAGCACACTAACTCTATGTTCCCATCCTTTCAGATGTAACTTGTGTAAACTGGGAAGTATGTAAAATTGTGACAACATGATTAGATCATATCCTTCTCAAAGGTATTGGTGATTGGATTTTATCCACATCTTGAAGTGAAATTACATGCAAAAAAAAAAAATTAAATGTAATATTTTGCTTCTTAAAATAATGCACCAAAATCAAGCATTTCTTACAATTCACCCTCTCCACCACAGGTGTTTGAAAGTTGAAACTGTAAATTAGCACACATTAGCTGTTCCTGGCCCATCTTTTCACTTTCACTTTTTGATTCAAAAACACACATGTAGAACTAATCTTAAAAGGCAGGTTTGAGGTTTTTAAAGATGACAAAGAAAAGATCACCATTATGGAAAGCTATGACTAACTTTTTCTTAAAAAACAAAAACAAACCAAAACCTCTTGCTTCAAAGCTGTACCTGAATACTTACATGACATATTTTGTATTTTTTCTCCTTATGAACAATGTCCAGATTGTCTACATAAAAGCACAAACCTGTACCCTATTACATTTACTTTATGCTCTACAACATCCAAGGCCTACATTATGGTTTCTTGCAGGAATGAAACTTAAGCTTAGAAAAAAAACTTAGCACTTTAACAGAACTTGGCTGCTTTAGGACCTCAACTCTGTTAATGAAATCTTCCTACTTAGGTTTAACATGAATACAGGGTTTGGGGGGGTTAAATAACATAATTAACAAGGCTTGGGAAGGGCTTTTACTCACTAGTACAGCACAGCACAAGTGGTCGGGTACTGTATCAGAGGTTTTGTTTACCTTTTAAGCCTGTATGTAGTATTAGCTACTGCCAGTGCTGCAGGCTACTCATCTAGGACAATTAAGGACCTCTTTAGTCAGCATCTGAGTCTAAATTACTACTTACAAGAAGGGAGGACTTTTAGGCTAAACTACTTAAGATTATCACAGCATTCTGTGCCATTAGCCTACAAGAACGGTCCAGAAGTTCATTCTCAAACAGTAGTATTTAGCACTAAAAAAAATGGATTTTTAGAAAATAAGTTTTATATTACACAGTTAATAAGTTGATCCAAATGCTGTTTAGGGAATAACACCTGATAGGGAATAACAGCTTGAAAAAAAAAAAAAAAAAGAGTGGGCTGAAGTTAATGAAAGTAGTTTTAAGATCAGTAGTGCACAGGACTTGCTGAAAAGAAAACAGCACAGTAAACATTCATATTAGCATGTGAAAGCTAAGGCAACAACAGCAAATTTTTCATCTAGTAAAGCTATGTATAATCTTGTTTTTAAACGTGAAAGATAGTAGTACTCATCCTGAATTTATCCTGTAGTCTTAACTTCCATTGGGAGGGGGAAGGAAGAGGGGCCAAGGAACCAAGAATTTTGCATCAGACCATCTGTAATACCCCTCATCCCGATTGTCCGGGATTAACTCTAATGCAAAGCCAGAGAGTGAGGAGCCCCTCACATACAGCTGTGCACAACTGGAAGGAAAGGCGCGACGCCTTGTGCCGAGCCCCTGTGGCCGGCACTGCCGCCTGACACG